GCGAGATCGTGACCTGGCTGAAGTCGGACGCTTAACCGACTGCGCCACCCAGGCGCCCCAAGGTGTTTTTTTTTTTAACCTTTTAAGAAATCCTCCTGAAAAGCAAAAGATTTATTTCTTACCAAAATAGTTTAATGTGTTTTATGCTATCTTTATCACGTCTTTGTTTTATCTTACTTTTTTTTTAAGTTTATTTATTTGAGAGAGATAGAGAGTGTGTGTGCATGCATGCACACAAGTCCAGTAGAGGGGCAAAGAGAGAGAGGAGAGAGAATCCTAAGCAGGCTCCGTGCTGTCAGCACACAGCCTGATGTGAGACTTGAACTCATGAACCACGAGATCATGACCTTAGCCAAAATCAAGAGTCAGACATCCAGGTGTCCCCAATGGGTGTTTAATAACTTAAGAAAAAGAGCTAAGGAGTTTTTTGTTTGTTTGTTTTTTTTAGCCAGTATGAAACTTTCTGTATTTGTCTTTAAAGTCTTCAACTGTCACTTTGGTTAAATGGATAACTAAATATTGTTCACAGTGACCTATGATCCTATTTGACCAAGTGTTTTAAAATCTTTTGATATTTTTGATAAACTTCTCCCATATCAAATTCTTTTTTTTAATGTTTACTGTGCTGTCAGTGCATAGCCTGATGTGGGGCTAGAACTCATGAACCATGAGATCATGACCTGAGCCAAAGTTGGATGGTCAACCAACTGAGCCATCCAGGCACCCCACCCGCAAATAAAATTCTAAATGAAGTCTTTTTTAGCTTGAACGAAGTTGGGTATTTTTCAAAGGTACCTGAAACATCTCAAAAGATTCTTTCTCTTTCCTTATGAAAGGATAAATATTAAACTAATCAGGCTTATTTGGTACGTTAAATTATATAGGAAGCATTGTCAGATAAGAAATGATGTTTTCAGGTTATATGGTGAGCATACATACGTTATCATAAGTGTTCCAGAAATTGTATAAAATTCCTAAAATTCTGATGCATTCTGGTATAATTTTGTCTGTCCATAATTCCACTTATCATGTTAAATGTTATGTGTAACAAAAATTACCAAATTTCCTTGTCAATTCCTTGCAATTACTTGTTATCGGATCTTCCACAATAGACCTATTTAAATCCTATGTCATTTGCAGGCAGTTATTGTTTTACTCTGATGCTTTTGCAAAATGAAATTCCTGGAAAGGACCCTACGAAGTACCTTTGATCACTGACACTGCTGCCAAATTACAAGGTGTACAAATCTCATGACTGTAGAAGGCTCATCTGACATCTGGTCCTGGGTCAATGCCAGAGACTTCAAAATCAAATTGACCGTGAAGATTAGTAGCTGACACTGAAGTACACCGTTTCCTCCTAAGATGTTGGATCAAGAACATTTCTCTCCATTCCTCTTTCCCTCTCTGGCCATTTTCCCCCTAATTATTATACCATGAAGGTCTTTATGATTTGTGTGTCCACCTCTCACCTTGAGCTGGCCTAGAAAGAGAATGCCATCACTCACATATGTCAGGCCACTGCAAAGGAGGGTAATCAAACTCTCAACTTACTGTTGGATTTGCTATAATACTGGTGACCCTGTGGTTCTGTCCATCAAAAACTTTCTCCTGATTTCTAATGTCTAGGTTTCTCTAGAACAAGCTTGCTGGATAACACTTCTAGGGAAGTGGAAACACAGTTATACAAGATACATTAACAGGCCAACTGGCTTAAAGAAGTATCTCCACTTTGGGACCATTTCTTGGTTTGATTCTAGTTGGTTTGGTTCATGGGGACCCTGTTTCAGGAATGTCCTGCAAATCTTAGGAATACTTTTTTCTTATTTTTATTTTTAATTTAATTTTTTATTTTTTAAAATTTATATCCAAATTAGTTAGCATATAGTGCAACAATGATTTCAGGAGTA